TTTATTTCTTGTTGTGTTAAATTATTTTCATTTTTTCATTTGTTATACAGAAACCTTGTGATTTATTACTTTTTATTCTAATTAGGTACAAAATGAAAGCTTACAACTNTAAATTATTTTCATTTTTTCATTTGTTATACACAAACCTTGTGATTTATTACTTTTTATTCTAATTAGATACAAAATGAAAGCTTACAACCTAACTTAAAACAAACGATTTTATGAATCATGTTAACAAAAAATTAAAGTTAGCGTTTTTGCGAGTGCACGTATCTAAAACCTATGCTTTTAGTAGAAAAGCACGTTTTATGTTAAAACTTTTTTGCTTCAACTATAACACTTTTTGACTTGTGCATTTGTTTTTTAAATTAGAACCAATAAAATAACTTTTTTGCTTATAAATTAGGTTTTAAAACAAGATGACTTTAAATTGTTAAACTAAACTACAAATTATTAAATAATATTTTTAAATGTTTGAAACAACTCAGACGGTTCTGGTTTTTAGGATCGTTTGCATTAACATTTTTTTAAATTTAGTTATTTAATGTAATAATTTTAAAAAATTAAAATATTGTAAAACAAATTAAATTTAATTAGTTGTTTAATTTAATTTAAATTTAAAAAACATATTTGTAAATAACTTTTTAATGTTGTTGCTATTGTTTTAACTTTTGTTTTACTTTTTGTTATTTTTCCAAAAGGTTCACATTTTTACGACACAGTACGGGCATTAACTTACCAAAACACAGATGTCTTTTTAATCTGTTTCCACCTGGGCGATTGGTATTCACTACACAATGCTCTCAATAAAGTATGTTTGTTTGTACATATAAAAAATACAATTAATTACAATAACCTTTTACAGTGGTATCCCGAAGTTCGCAAATACAGCTTACCCGACACACCTATTGTACTGGTTGGTTGTCAGAATGACCAGCGCTATGTGGAGAACCTTTATGCGTCTTTTCATTTGGTACAAAATTCAGTTACTGGTGCCATTAGTCCGCTTACTTCAGCGGTGAATGAAGTCAAACAAAGGGTTGTCTACACGGAAGAGGTAAGATGCTCATGTCTTTTTAAAATGTTTATGTGTGGGAGTTTAATTAGAAGTATAGCAACAACACTTGTTACAACATAGTAGCTGATGAAAATTAACTGCTCTCAGATAAAACAACTCACCTAAAACTATGTTCCAATAAAATCTGCCCACAAGTGCGCCGTTTTAAGCATATTTTTTAAAGTTAAATTCATAAACATAGATTAAAAACTAATTTTATGAACAAGTAAACAATGCTTTCTAATACTCTTAACTAAAATATTTTTTTAGTAGTTCAGTTTTTTTAATTAGTAGTTTTGTTCATATTACAGGGAATTATAAAAGGAACGTAGTAAACAGGAAGATAAAATATTTTACATATTTAAATGAAAGTAAACGCATAGATATCGCGTTCACTGCGTGGGTGCAGTGTGAACATCATCAACACAATCCCTAAAACATGTTGCACATAATTAATAATCTTTTTGAATAGTAATGTAATAATTTGACTAATTTCATATTTTTTGCATATTCCCAGGCACTAGAAGTGTGTCGCCAGATGGGCGCCGTCACCTACGTGGAAACATGCGCCTACAACTCCTCCACAGTTAGGGAAGCATTCGAGGTTGGTGCTCTGGCAGCCAACGGCAAACTTGCCGCCATTTTGTCAGGGCAGAGTTCTCCTACCAGCTCAAAAGGCTCTAGCAAAAATCTGCTGAGTGTAAAGCACCTCTCACTGTCCTCCTCAACCACAAATACCTCCATCTCAAGCAGCTGTACGTCATCTCCTGGTTCTGACAGTAGTTCATCAGTTAAGCTGAAGTCATCCACCAGTTCGACGCATCTTTTAACCAGACACAAATCGCTTTTTAAATTGAGAAAGTGCAAAAGCAAAGGAGAACTTGGAAAAGTAGACGGAAAGAAGGAGAAAAGTTGTGCCATCATGTAAATTATTTGCATTTTTCAAAATGAATGATATAGTGAACATCTCATTTCCAACTACCATCTTTCATTTTGCCGTAGTCTTAATTAACCATTACAAACCTCCATAATGTTGATATCTTTCATGCATTTTGACACCAAGTTTTCATTTGTTCAGTAATCTCAAGCATTTCATTTTGCCATTAAAATTGTAGTCACACCTCCATTTTTGTACATTCTCACATTTTTGTTCATTACCAGTTGTTATTATTGTTTTATTTTCTCACTTTGCTGTACATTTTGTTTGTTTTTTGTTGAAATTCAATAAATAAAAAGTTTATCTTTTATCACTTGTGTCATTCTTGATTTGTACTCAAACAATTTTTTATTTTACACTTTAAATTCAAACTTTTGAAATATTTTTATGATTTTTGCACAACACTGCCATCTTGGGTACAGTAACAGAAACAATTATAAGCTTTACTCAAATAACAAAGCGAGATTTATAAAATGAAAACAGTGGACAATTTTTGCTGATTTTAATTGACTTTTATCATTTTTAAGAAAATTCGGTCAACTTTAAACTTTAAACGTTGTCAGTTTCACAAAACTTTTTAAATGCTAATGAGTTGTTTGTTTTTTTGAAGTAACCAGTAATGACATACAATTAACAAACAAAACAAAAGTAAAATTTTTGAAAATTTTTAAAATGTTTACGCAAAATAATTACAAATAAAACAACAAATGATTTTACGGATAATATTTTACTATTGACAGTTTCTTCAAAAGTCACCTGACCTTCAACGTAATATTTGATACTTGTTTTCTGTCCGACTTTTTGTGCTTTAAGAATTCAAGGCCGACAATCTAACCTTCAGGCATCTGTTAAGTCAATTACACTTTGCTCATACCCAGCGGACATTCACATCAACAATCTGTGCCATCCTCGATCCATATGGTCTTTTAAAGCAGCAAGCCATTACCACTAAACAGCTATCGACTTCAGTGCTTCATTTTGGCATCTCTTGCCACTCCTTCTGAAACATAAACACAGTCATCGCCGTTGCTCTCTGTCGGGCTGTCGGTTTCATTAGCCGGCCTGTCTTGACAGTCTCGTCAAGTCACGTACATGCTAGAAGATAGGACGACATTTTTCACTGTCTTGTCGGCCATTTGATTAGCTGACGAAATCATCATCGCTAACAAGAGTGAACGAAATTGTCTCTAGGCAGCTTGCTTATCAACATTGCTTATTATGCTAAGAACAACATAATACTTTAGTCTGTTCTCCAATCCTTTATCATCGGTATTTTTTGTGCAAGAAGCCACACTCAATCACTTTCTTTGTTTGCGAGAGCGATATCTTTTGTATTTCCTGTTTTGATGTAGTATACACTCAGATCTCTTCCTTTTCCTCATTAGAAATGTGCTTCAGAATGTTGTCAACTGAGACATTCTTTCTCCTACTGCTGCTAGCATTCTCTACTACAGTTCATGCTACTGAAGAACTTTTTAGTGCCATCGTTCACCTGGAGCGACTGCTACAAACAGAGCAGAGTATTGTTGCCAATCTGAATAGTTATCTTGACTATGAGGAGAAGCGTATTGCCAGCTTACGTCAATTGGCACATCATTATAACGAATTGAATTCGGTAGCATCAAAAGATGTACAATCGTATCTCTCTAATCCAGTGAATGCCTACTTGCTTGTCAAGCGGTTGACTACCGATTGGAAGCTGGTCGAGTATCTGACATTCAATGCGGACCGCAGGGATTTAATCGAGTTTCTTCAGCAAAATGAAACATTTCCGTCATCAGATGATCTGACAGGTAAGTCAAAAGTAATTTTGAAAAAAACTAATTTTGTTATAACGTTTGTTTTTAATTTTCAGGGGCGGCGGAAGCTTTGCTTCGTCTTCAGGACACTTACAAGCTGGACACTTCTCTACTGGCGGATGGCGTTATTCCCATTCGCGATGTTCGCGGTATGAAACCGGCAGACTACCTGAAACCAGGCTTCACTAGCATGTCTCTCACTGCCAATGACTGCTTTGAACTTGGTCGCCAGGCATACTCCAACGAAGACTACCATCACACTAAACTGTGGATGCGAGAAGCTCTTAGTCGCCTGGAAAATGAGGAGTCTGATAGCTCGACTCAGGATAAGATGCGCATTAATATTCTTGAGCACCTCGCCTTTTCTACTTACAAACTGGGCTACGTATCCGATGCGTACACCTACACAATGCAACTGCTGGAACTGGATCCTGATCATGAACGAGCTCGCGGCAATATTCAATACTTTGATAAAGAGCTGAACATTAAGAATCAAATTAGACGTGTTCGAAAAGGTGACGATGGTGATGATGCCGTGTCTGTGGAAAACTCTATTGCTGAATCGAGTTGGCCGATTGAGGAAACTGAACGCCAAACTTACGAAGCACTGTGTCGTGGTGAAAGCCGATTAAGCGAACGCACACGCTCTCAGCTGGTGTGCTTTCATTTGGACACTTCTAAATCAATTGATCCATACTTGAGACTGACTAACATCAAAGTGGAAGAAGCGTACAAGCAGCCTCAAATAGTGATCTTTCACGATTTCATGTCTGATGCTGAGGCAGAAGTCATCAAAGCTCTAGCAGCCCCCAAATTGAAGAGAGCTACTGTGCAGAACTACTTTACTGGGAACCTGGAGACTGCCAAGTATCGAATTTCAAAAAGTGCATGGCTCACTGATCGAGATCACCATGTTGTAGCCCGTATTTCTCGACGAGTTCAGGCGATCACTGATCTCGATTTGAGCACAGCTGAAGAGCTGCAAGTGGTCAACTACGGTATTGCTGGTCAGTACTACTATTGTAACTTAGACATGGGTAAATAACTGGTTTGTTTTGTTTCAGGACAATACGAACCACACTACGACTTTGCTCGAAGAGAAGAGAAAAATGCTTTCAAATCATTAGGTAATCTATTGACCTTTGATATGGAAAGTTTTATTTTCAATTTTTTGTAATATTTGTTTAGGCACAGGTAATCGAATAGCTACATGGCTTAATTACATGAGTGATGTCGAAGCTGGCGGAGCAACAGTTTTTACTCAACTTGGCGTTACCGTTTGGCCAAAGAAAAACTCGGCTGCTTTTTGGTACAACTTGCACAAGTCGGGAGATGGAGATTTGCTGACTCGACATGCTGCCTGCCCAGTTCTGCTTGGCTCTAAATGGGTTTCCAACAAGTGGATTCACGAACGAGGGCAAGAGTTTAGAAAGAAATGCGGTGTCAGTCCTTTTGAACCGAATTTGGTTCAAAAAACAAACTGAACAGCTATTTATTTTTAAAACTAAATGAAGTGATTTTATATATTTTCTACAAAACTTGGGTAAGACTAGCTTTTTAATTTTTTATTTAACTTAAATATTAATTCATTTTTATTTCAAGGCTTTTACACCACGCATATTGTGTAGCTCCTTTCTTTAGTTATGATACTCTGCTACAAGCGCCAATCTTGAGAATCTCATTGCTTACACTTGGTGAAATTATTCATTTTTCTAGTCTCATTTTGCCAAATGATTTTTTTGTAATCATATAAAAAACAGAAAACAGTTTTAGACTGTAATAAAAGTCATTCTAATAAAAACGTTTTAGTTTTGTTTTTTGGGAAATATCTATGTACCTTGCCGGTACAAAGTTTATTTCCACATTGAGCCCTAAACAATGATACTTTTTGTCATACTAGTTTAGAGTTTTTTTATTATTTACTTTTGCAGCTCATTATTGAAGACATTTTCATTCGATAAGGATTGTATTACAAATGAATGCAACTCCTTTGATTTTTTAACATTTCCATGTTGACGCGTGTGTTTTATCATCACAAATAGTCGCAACTAACTTTAATCCTGTGATGTAGATTAGTAGGGGAGATTCTTGCATACGCCGTCTGGGAAAATTGTTTTCAATATTGCCGTGTGAAAACGATCAAAGTGCGGCTAGTGAAATCAAGTTAACCTTACTCCAGTCATGTGAAACTAACTGTGATTATAATCTTCAGTGTAGTTTTATGCATAAAATAACTTGTTGTAGTTTATAAGCTTGCTTTTTATCATTCACGCAAAATATAAATGTATCAGACTACAGTTTCTTGAGACAGTTGAAATTGGAAGCAATTGCTAGTGTAAACTGACAACGATTTAATAATAACTTTGTTAGTTTACAAATGAACTTGATACTTGTTGATTTTTATTATTTGGCACTTATGGCTTTTCTTGCAAATGTACTTGTTTGATCACGTACTCGGATCCGGTTTTATTCAATCATCAAAGATAGAACAAGACTTTTCAATGTTTAATACTGTTTTGTACCAATTGCTCGATTGAACAGCATGAACAGTAGCAGTAGTAGTAGCACTTAAACATCACCAAATTGGTAGCATCTTGTGGGTCTGTGCAGACTCAGTAGTAGCCAGCCCTCTTCAAAGTCCGAACATAAACACAAATTTCAATGTCTCTGTCGATAGGAGAGCAAGCACCGGAGTGAGTGTCGGTACTGGAAGTGTTATCAGCTCGCATGACCTCGCCAACTCGAGCGTACCACACTTCGGGTGAATTCAGCTCCCGCTGAACTACCGTCAACAGAGCAACCCTCTGCACCGAGTGGCGCACTCCCCGTTTAACCTCCAAATTATCATGTCGGAAGTAGCGTGGAAAGTTTTCTAAATGGCCATTGAATCGAATTGTGATTGGATTTATTTACATTGTCCAACCGCCGACACATGTTTTCAGCGAAAGTGTTGAGATACAGCTTTAGCTGGCTCCTTTGCGCGCCACTGCCTCTCCAATTGGACACTGTCAACCCTTGAAGAGGCTGATTGCTGTGAACTCTTATGTAACGTGCGATAAGAGGCAGCTGCTGCTCCAAATGTTTGCAACTTACATCGCCGTCACCCGACTGGCTGTGCACTTCTCCTGCCAGGCAATATCTTATCCACAAAGTTTAGCGTCGCATGACCATTAGTGTCTCTTTTTCGCTTCCACCCGCTACTGGTTTTGCGAGTCAAGTTTCAAATAGAAGTTTATAAACGTTTTAATGTACATTATTCTTTGCTGTACTAACAAATGTCTTTGTTACAAATGTGCGCCTTGTCCGTTTGTGTTGGACAAGTGTTTATTGTCATCTGAGTAGCCACTCTGGCTAATCATTGAAAAAATGTTCTTTCTGATTTGAATTTGATGAACTTTGTAATTATGGACTTGTTGCAATCATTCTCCAATGCTGAAACAGCTGCTTTTCTCTAGAAAAAAGCAAAAGGTCATGCTGCTGTTGAGGCTGTTGCTTGAAGTTGCAATCTAGCCGGTGACACATTGCCGATTAGAAGCTAAGGCTGGTCAGAGTGCATGTTATCGCTGTTGCCCTTTTTCATACAGCTCAGCAGACATCAGAAACTGATTTGGATCCGGTCTAAACTGCTCAGAACTGAACTTTATTCTCTAGCCAGGCAACAACTGAATAACTAGCCATGATAATCATCGCAAGTCTATCAAAAATAAATAGTAATTTGCACTTTTATACGGTTGCTAAGCTAATTAAACTTTGATAAACGTAGCAATTGTTCATACAGTAAACCAAAAATCTTTTGCTATTTTACTTTATGATGGTAGCAAGAGCATACTTAAGAACTGTCAAACTTGTTTTGCAACTAATAACTGTTATTCATTATTGTTCAAAGTGTTATCAGTTGATCAGTTTGTTTTTTACTATACTAGAGAAAATGTCTGAATGAAGTCTTGCACTACCACTTTTTTGGTGGTGTCAAATATCAGCGCAAATCTAGAGAAATGATGTGATTTGTCTTGATTGATTCGATTTGATGCCACTTGATTTGCGTTTAGTAGTAAAGAGTAAAAATTTTTAAATTAAAAATTTGTGCAACACTCAGTACCGTTCAAGAGTACTTCTAAACAAAAGCTTATCAAAGCAAAACAGTCAAAATAAGTAGCTCGATAAATTTTACACCGGATACTGCAGGAAGTATAATAACATTAATCAAGTGTATAGAGATAAAGTCGCATGCACCGGGAGCATAATTTGCGTTAGTCCAATCACTTTACGTTTCAAGTTGATAGCCTCGGTGCTAGACCGAGAGGACCTTATGTAAGAGCAGCCGTTAGCGAATGATAAAGAGCAGTTCGAAGTACACAAATACGCCTCGTGGTTTCGTTGCAACTGTCTATTCAAGACTGGTTGGCGTTGGTTTGCTGTACAGCGTGGAGCTCACCGCACTGATCGATTCGATTTATCTAGACGGCATCGAGCAACGTCGATGGTGATCAGGCAAACTTTATCATCTGAACAACAACAGCGTTCTAGACTACACTAGGTTGGTGACGGTGAAGGCATGATCGTCCGCAGCTCAAAATGAATCAATTGCATAAAGTGACGTTTGCCCATATGCCACCAGTCTGCAACCAGACAAATCATTTTTGGGACATGCTTGTGCAGACTATTCAAATGGCACCCTCGCTGTTGCAGTTGACATCAAGTTAACCTCGTCTGGCAACCAGCATTAGGCGACAGTGTCGCAGCCGACTTTAGTGTTTTTGGGTGAAATCAGCGTAATGAGCACGCTGCTACTGAGATCTATTTCAAGGTCATCGTGTTTATTGAACACTGTTGCCAGCCACAGTATTGATTTGCAGAGCACTCGGTGATCACTCCTGACCAGATTGAATCGGTTTGGGCGCTCATTGGGCGCACTCTCTCTCTCTCTCTTCCACTCTCTCACTCTCACTCGTTTTCTAGCCACGCCCGTCGCACTCGAATATCTGGCAATTGCAATGGTAACCTGACGCGTCGTAGAGTCGCTGCTCTATGCACTACTCCATTGCTTCTCAGTGGCCATATCGCCAATGAGTTTATTATTAGCAGTGATTTGTACAATTCGAGAAGGAGCCACAGGAAGTGACATTACACAATAGTCAGCATGTGTAAAGTTGTCCTATATGTACCTGGATATTGCTGGCAGTTTACCTTGACTGCTTAATCCGTTGTATCCTAAAAATAGCTCAATCACTATCACTTTAAACTTAAGGTGCAATCACAATAGGTGAGTTCCAATTGCGATTACAAAATTGAGAAATACAGGTACTTTTTACTAGGCAAAGCATATCTCTCTGTTCTCACGGGATGTCAAACTTTACTAGTGTCCTCTGCTAGACTGTCAAATGTTCTACTTACGTCTTTACCATGTGATAATCTCAGTCTTTGTTTTACACAGCTGCAGTGCATTTGACTGGACATAATTAAGAAAGAGAAGCAATCACCCACAGGTAGTATTGGCTGGCGACTTGATTAGATGTTTTCTCAAGTGGATTGGCTCTCTGATGTAATGCGATTTGAATAATGCACTCAAAGAACAAGTCATAAAACGATTTATTAACGTATTGCTCTGTGTTAGTTTTATTCAATAGCAACTTTTACAAACCAAATCAAAGAATTTTGCAAATGCCAGAAACGATTATCTTTCTACAAAATAGATTTTTGGTACAAATCGCAGTTATTTGATGGAAAAACGAAATTTCATCACTCAAGGTGCAACTAGAATCATCGAGTAACGTTTTAGTTACGAAATTTAGAAGTGCAAGAGACTACTTGTCACGAGTGGATGATTGCTACTTGCATCGCTCTGAATCCAACTTCATTGTTTCACTTATGAGGGTTGAAGTGTATCATTTTATTGTTTCGCTGAAATGTGTGTTGCTGAGATCTATCTATTCTTATCAAAAGAAAATGGATTATCACTGTACCAACCGAATTGCTTTCATATTAGCTTTGCTGTATCGATCGCTGAACTTTATTATTTCAAAAGCAATTTCATCTTATCAGTAAGCCTGCGTAGANATCAAAAGAAAATGGATTATCACTGTACCAACCGAATTGCTTTCATATTAACTTTGCTGTACCGATCGCTGAACTTTATTATTTCAAAAGCAATTTCATCTTATCAGTAAGCCTGCGTAGATCTGCCGTCAGTGTCTCATTAGTTCATCTCCACTAAAGGTTGTTCTGACTTTGAGTTTGCTGCAGTCTTTCTGTGAAACTGATTCCAGTGCAGTAGCACTGTCTGGTTGTTGCAGGTCATTTGACTAGCTCTCGGCAGAAAGTCGTCAGTCTCCAGAGCTTCAGTCTCCACGGTGATAGTGTCCACCAAATGCACTAGTCTTGTCGTCGTGGTCGTCGCTGGCAGCACTGGTGGCGCTTGCGTTTGCGCTCGCCTTGAGTCAAAAGTTCATGCCTGCCTGGTGGAAGCCTTATCAGAAGTGCTTGCCGATGGAGATAGTGCAGAGTGCACTGGCGGTGTCTCCAGTCTCCTCCACTGCTGTCCGCTGATCACCACCGACGACTATAAAAGAGACATCACCGTCACATGGCACCCTCAGTCATGTCCTGGTCTGCTCGCCACCGCAAAGCTATGGTCTCCTCTCTCTGCACCCACCACCGTTGAGCACTTCCGTCCACGCTGGACACTACCAACTTCTAACGTCTCACTCGTTTTACTTTCCTCTGGCACCTTCTTCCTGCCCATCGACTCTATTTATTTATTTCTCTAAAATAAACTATCCCTCCCAATTCTCACCATGGGCTACGATCTGAACCGTTTTCAGTGCAAAATCTACGATGAAGTTATCTGCTGCATCTGCTTCGGCGTGCTCGAGAACGCCTACGAAATAGCGGAATGTGGTCACCTCTACTGCGAGCGCTGCATCAAGGGGTGGCTCGAATCGCCCATGTACTCCTTTCCCACCTGCCCCACCTGTCGCAATGAAATTTGCGAGGATGACATTCGCCCAGCTCCCGAGTTCATTCGCACCTTCATCGGTCAGCTGGCGGTCAGCTGCGACTTTGCCGACGCTGGCTGCATCGTCAATGTGCCCCTCTGCGAGCTGAACCGCCACCGAGCCCACTGTCCACTGAACCCACTGAAGCCGATTGCCTGCTCCCGAGGCTGTGGCGTTCACCTGCCTCCCTCACAGATGCTCAGTCACCAGTGCGACCTCGACCTGTGCCAGGAGGCCATCGTCTGGAGTGAAATCTTCGAGACTGCCAAACTGGTGGTGCGAATGCGCAACTACAAGCGATACCAAAACAAACACGGTCTGGTTGGCCTCACTGCCAAAAAGTTTGTCAATCTTTTCACGAAGTGGATGGCCGATCCGAGAATTCAAGAGGCAGCCAATGCTGCTGCCCCCTTCGAACACATCACTGGCAAAGCCTGCATCTCCGCATAATCAACCCCCAAATACCCAATTTCTCAAGCTTGCCAGTCTTTTTGAACAACTCCCACCAAACCATTATGTATTATATCCTATGATCTTATAACCCATCTTTTTCGCCCTACTGTTGGACACCAACAGCCCCCATCTACTGATGTACTCAAACCCTCCAGTACCACTTTTGCATGCCCCATCAAATGTTTCATTACCGCAAAACTACTCTTTTTGCATCATCATGTATTATAGCCATTTTTTGTATACACTTCTCTCGCCCTTTTTCTTTCACTAATTTATTTTAAATAATAATAAAACTGTTAAAAATGAAAACAACTGCTTGTAGCTTTCTGCTCAGCTAAACCAAACAATGACCGTTTCGCGCTCTAAATGCAAATTGAATTCATTTTCCAGCGAGTACATTTTCTGAAGCACCAGCTTGTTGGCTGGTCAGGACAGCACCCAGTGATTGACTGAGGAGAGGACATTCAGCACACTGGAAGATAGGAGAACAGTACTCTCTGCTGGGCTGCATGCTCCGCCTTCACCAGAGGTTAGGTGCTCTCCTCCCCACTCAGCTGATCCTCCACGCTCTCGATGTACATGTTTGGAGATACTTCTCGTTTGTTTTCATCTATTTTCAGTGTCTTTTCTACACTTCTTTTCAGGCGTTTCCCGGTTGTTTTGTTATCAGAAGCGCGCCTACGAGCGTAATTTTTTTAACTTTCAAATTGCCTTGCACATTCTCTGTCTCCAGTTATTTTTTCTACTCGTTTATCAGCCACGGCAAGTATCAGCAGCAACCAAAACGTTTGTTTGATTCTCCTGGCCAAATTGACATTTGCGCGTCTACACCACTGGCAAAGTAAGGCAAACAAAACAAACCTTTCCACTTGAGAGTCTCAAATATTGAGCGGATCGCTTGGAAGCACTTTGCTTGCAACTTCATTTTATTTTAGTGGTTTGCTAGGAGCAAGAAGCATATTTAAATTAAAGTTTTCTGTACAGGTAATTTTAGCGCGTCTAATGTTGACAGCAGTCTTACAGTTTTTGAGTAGAATTTTCCATTGTTTTCCATTGCCTTAGTTTACCTTTAGTATTGATTCCTTATTAACAAAGTTTTTATTTTTCAGAACCAAACATTGGTCAAGATGTAACTAGATTATTTTTGCCCACTCGTAAAATGAAGCTTTTCTTCAGCCAACGTTCTGGATTTTCATTCACCTTGTGGTACTCAATCTGAAACTAAAATTTAGTTTCAATCGCTCAATTTGCTATAACTCGTTTAACTTCCTGCTGTTTTCCAACTGGCCAATGATAATCATCTTATCGCTCATACGCAGTACCAGAACTTGCACTTAAATGGTTCGAACTGTAAGTTCAGCTGTTCTTTTCTACATCTTTTTTGCTAGTGCAAAGATTTTTAAACGTTCTGATAAATGTCTTGGATTGTACTTTGTGTACTTTCAAAGTGCGCACTTCTATTTAGATCTTTTGTAAAGTTTGGTTTAATTACGTTTGTCCAACAATAGACATTTTTGTAAATATTTTTTTACAATCGCAATTTGATTGCACTTTAAGAGCACAGATGCTTATCGTTATCACTTGATATAGTTATCATTTAGAATCGATGCGTTCTTGACTACCACATGTCCGCTATAATGAGCACAATTTAAACTCTCTATTGTTATAAGTTTTTCATGTTGACATTTTTTTATCGTTTAAAAAGAATATCATTTGATCAAACGTATCACTTTGAGAAAGCCTCAATTTCTCGTGATGGCAAGCATAAATAGTTTTTATTTAGTCCAAGACCAATTTAACTACGCTATCGTACACTTTGAGGTGACGGCAGTAAATATACTTTGCCCAGAGATTGATTTTGCATCATTCATTCATTTTTCGTGTGACAAGTCTACAGTGTACCCGATGCTGTAGATCACAAGTAGAGTAGAGCAACACTGTTGCGTCCTGGATATCGGCAGTGGGTGTTTGCAACCAGTCCTCTTCATTCATTCATTCAATTTGCTATCTTTTCTGGGCAAGACTGCATTTGGGCGCACTTACGAATGTCCGGTTAATGGTCGATCTAAGATAGTCAAGTGGTTGTTATTGCCAGTCCTCAGCGCCACGAGGAGACTCATTGCAACTCCTATCATGTATCGATGTCTCACTGCACTGGCCTACTTTGTCTCTATCGCTGTTTTGTTTTCACATGACCAGAATTGTTACTCTCTTTATAGTTTCACTCAAAGAACACGAGGTTTCTTCATTGGAGGAGATTTTTTTGTACGTTAAAGAGCAGTTTGAAGTGTGTTTCATTAGTAAAAGTAATTTTGCTGTTGCCCTCTGTTGCTATGATTTCACTCTGGTCACTACAGTGAGCTTTTCTTATTTGGTTTACTTATTTGCACAGCTTTTTTCTGTTAATAGTTTTTGCCTTGTAAACAATAATAGAAAACTTATTTAATTTCTAAAAGTTTTAAAAAAAATTGTATTTTGATAAATTTTGTATAGCTATAACTTTGGTTGTTGGAAATCTTAAAATTGATAAGTTTTTACTAGTAGTTATTAAATATTCACAGGTATTTATTATTTTGTTAGGCTATCTTATTGTATAAAGTATAACTTCTATACATTTTACAGACATTGCCATAGTAACATTTTTAAAGTTAAAAATAATAATTTACATTGCTATCGATCAACATTTGCAGTGTCATTGCTCATTACCATGTTACTTTAAAGTTACTTTTAATTTTTTATAGTGCTAATGAATTTAATTTTGTTTTTTAAAAACTAAAACTTTGTTGGCGGCTGTGTCATTAGCTTACGTCATTAACACTAAAGCTAAAAAAACTTGATTCAACATTTTGGCACAAACTCAGTTAATCTTATTTTGCATATTTGCATTCATTTTTGTTAAGTAACTAAAAATCCAAAATACAATTAAATGTCATTTTACAGTTATATTTTGGTTTTGAATGTTTAGTTATTATGTTTATTACAAGAGGGCGGCAATTGTTTGGAAAGCAACTTAAAATTATTTAATTGAACAAAGATTTATTTCAAGATGTTAAAGATACAGATTTTTGTTTATTTTTTATCTTGGATATTTTATAATCAATTTAAGAATTGAAAGCTCTTTAGTTTGAATTTTTTAGGGAAAAAGAGATTTGGTCACTGTACTTCACAGTTAATGTCAATGTGTTCCCAGCACGTTTGAAATTTTTTTTTAGTATTTCACCGACTCACCAACTACCTTTTTTGTAGGCATTAATATTTTATTGCGGTTTTTGTTTGTCCTTCTGTTGCAACTTTTAACTTGCTTACTGCTTATTTATTCATTAATCTTTCAAAGGCAGCCTGGATCAACCATTAGCTATAATTAGGCAAACATGAATCTACATTGCATTTCGACAAAGTTACCTTCAATTTGGTGAACCACTTTCAATTTCCCAGACCCCAACAGATTTTCCGTCAAAGTGTAGTCTAGATTTATTTATTGCACCTTAATCTCCGAGTAAACATGTGTGCCAATCGCAGTTCTTCATTCTACCTTTTACCTGGTTATTTTCTGGATTTTTTATGCGTCTAAAAGTTAGTGACATTCTTTGGTGCCATTAAACATGTCAAGCTTTTGACATGTTAAAGTTGTTTTTTACCACTGTGGCGCAGTGTGTAGTAAGCGTATTTAGATCATTCAAGTTTTGCTAACCTCGTTTAACAAATTCGTCATTTTTATACTGTTATTTTTAGTTTTGTAGAGGATCGTTGGATCGCTAAATTAATGGTTTTTAGTTTTAAGTTTTTGTCATGTTTAACTCTGCACTAAGCATTAATTTTTGATAAAGATCTAGCTTAATTGAAGAAAAAGAGTTGGAACACTAATCTGATTCACCAGGCTCTACCTGAGTAATTCTCGTGTTAGGTGAGCTTTTATTTTTCAGGTGAACACAAACACACTTGTACACTTTGTGTCTGAACAGCTGTTTGGTGAGCTTACATTTGGGGTAGTAGAGCAGGCGCCATTTACGGTCTGGGTGGTCATTGTTCCTACAGGAAGGTCTGATTGTTTGCTTTCTGCTCATTCAGACTAGTAGCACACTTGCCCGCCAAAGCTGTGCAAGTCGACACAGATTGTGTTTTCTCTTTTCTACGTATTCCCACAAACTAAACTGTCAATCTCTTGCGGCACGCAAATTTACTATACGATTACTTCTCAATTATTGGCTGCCATTCGATACTAAGTCAGAATTGATTGGCATTTCCGAAGAATTACAAATGTATTCAGACAAGTTTATTTATTAAAAAAGTGTGGCTGCTCTTGTTCAATGTCAACTGACTTCTTGGCTATTTTCTATAATTTGGTTTTGACCAACAAACTTGCAAATCTGATAATTACATCTATCACTTTCCTCGTCATTTAATTTTTTAATAAAACAACGCAGGATGGCTACATCCGTTGCAGCCACCCGATCAGATGGTAAATTGTTTTTAAAACTAAACAAAAGTTTTGTGATTTTGAAATTATTAATGCTTGCATATGCTTTTGAAAACAATTTACAAAAAGTACAAAAATAAATTAAGCAAAATTGGTTGTCATTTTTACAAGCATTTTTGTTTGACCTTGAAAAAAGATTTTTTATTAAAAACGCTTCGGTCTGCGTTTATTGACTGTTTTTGGTTTGTTCTAAGCCCAGGGCCACGCCAAAGGAAATGTTGCTGACATGGTGCATTTTTAAAAAGCTAATTAGTAAGAAAAAGTGCTACGCCCTAACCCATTGGCTTCTAAATGTTTGTCAATTTACCTGGCGCCGGTTTGTTTGTTTTTAACCGCACGAGCGAACACTTAGTGCATTCAAATGGAGATGGTAATTGATCGCCCCTTCCACTTGGCTAATTGGCATGGCAATGGATCGATTTGCACTTGCTCGAATTCTGTTTGTTTATTGCCATTTTTCACTGTCGTGCCACTCTCTTTCTCGTTTTCTTTTTCTTCCACTCTCCTTTTCTCCCTTTCT